GCTGGAAAGGGCTTGACTGTATTACGGGGAGAGAGAGAGAGAGAGAGATCATAAGAACAGCTCTTGCTTTTTTCTTGCAAGGGAGAGAGTGACTCCTGCCTCCCATTGTCATCATCATCTTCTTTTGGGTTAGTGAATCTATTAAACCTTTCATGATAGTGATATCGTTTCCCAAATTTCCCTTAAATCAGGGAAGAAATCACAAGAAACCTTTGGACTGAGAATAAGCCTGTTCCTACGATGCCATTTTTGTTCACTGCAGTGTGAAAAATGTGAAAAAACACACTTCTTTTTCTTGTTCTATCTTCTTGTTCCCTATTTACTGGTCTCTTTCAAAGAGGAAATTGTGAACATCAAACTTATTCTCAACTGTCCTAGTGAAAGTTTTTATTGGTATCTATTTTTATTTTTGAAGTTTACCAGTAGCTGCTGCATTTCCCACCCTCGGCTTATACTCGAGTCAATAAGTTTTCCCAGTTTTTTGTGGTAAAATTAGGTGCCTCAGCTTATATTCGGGTCGACTTATACTCGAGTATATACGGTACTTTCCCTTTGATATGCCAGACCAGTTTATCTGACTTGCCATACTTTAAGTGGCAAGTGTTACAAAATGCTAGTCCTTTATAAAGTGAGGAATACTCCACTTCTTTAACTTGTGGTCCAAATGTTTGGGGGGAAAGAACTTAATTTTATAATTCACAATACATCTAATATAAAAGGCATTTCTCTAATAAGCCCCAAAATTAAGCATCTACAGCAAGGTTGATATATGAGGAGAATTTAATTTGTTCCACGTTTAAACAAACTAATTTAATTTCTGATATCTGAATGCACACAGAAACTGAAACAATTATCCTGATTGCACATTTCTCTAAATTTTGTAATCAGTTCAAAAATGATGTTCATAGTCGAATGGATTTACGATTAAATGCATGCAGAACTGACAAGGACTGGAAATAATAGCTATCCCCAAGCTGAATATCTATGACTATTGGGAATCATACATCAGGATCAAAACATCTAATATAAGGAAAAAGAACCCCCATCACTCTAAATTTTTGAACAAGTACTGGTAGGTCTTGACATCCTGGAACACACATACGAGAAATAAATACCGTATTTGCCGGCGTATAAGACGACTGGGCGTATAAGACGACCCCCCAACATTTCCACTCAAAATATAGAGTTTGTTATATACTCGCCGTATAAGACTACCCCTCTTCCACACACCTTCCACTTTTGCACTTTTTTTTTTTTTGACGCACTTTTCTGCTTTGGACAATTTTGAAATGAGCTAATCCAATTTTGAACCAAGAATATGCCAATAGCTATGGAGTTTAGAAATGAGTTTTAAAAATATTTTTCATTGCTTACCATTAAGCGTAAAATATGTTGTAAATAAAATGAGAACACAGGAAACGTTCTCTTCTCAATACAGCTGATCTCTCTCTCTCTCTCTCTCTCTCTCTCTCACACACACACACACACCAAAAACCCGGACACTGAAAAGGCTGCCAAGGAACAGTATATTCAATGCCTTCTCTTTAATCAAGAAACAAGGAATTCCTTAGAATCTTTTTTTTTCCCCAAGTGGCCCTCTTTAAAAAAATATATGGAGGTAACACTTTCATTCAAAAAGTCTTCCAGTATTTGGAGTCGCTCAGACATATTGAAGTGAGGCAGGAGAGTAAGTGAAATTTGAAATGACCCAGCTACAGTTTTCTTCCCCTCCCGCCCGAAGGCCATTATCTCCACATCAAAACGAACGAGGGGAGGCAAAGAAGCCAAACACGCTAAAAAGGATCTCTTTATTTTCCTACACAAGGTCACACCTACTTTTCCGCATTCAAAGGACAACCTCTCCTCACCACCACCACACACACACACACACCCCAATACCCGCAAACAATGTTCTGGGCATTAATCACCATTGCTACATTAACCTGGTAAATTTATACCCTGCCTCCCCCAGTGTTGCTTTGACGGCAGGATTTCACACAGCGGGGCGCTCGCTCGCTCTCTTCTCCGCTCTCCCACCGTTCGCACATGTTGGAAGCACCGTAAAACCTGATAACCCACCCGGGGGCTCCCCCATCCTTAACCTACAGCCGCCCGCATGCAAAACCTGCGTGCAAAAAGAAAAAAAGAAAAAGAAAAGTACACCGCACGTGAGGATCTTCGAATCCTCTCCTCCCCACACCGCTAAGGAAGGAAGAGGGGGAAAGGTTGCGCAGCGCGTGGCGAGTGACACCCGCCACACACACACACACACACACACCGCTCCCCCCCCCAGCCTCCCTCCCGGCTGCAACTCAAGCTCGAAGTGGGAGTCGGAGTCCTCCCGGCGTATAAGACGACCCCCCCACTTGGAGGCATGTTTTTCAGGGCAAAAAAGTCGTCTTATACGCTGGCAAATACGGTACTCAGTGTATTTATAAAGGAATAAATTTGAAATTTACCTCTTCCATAGGAACAACCTGAGAATAGCCACCTCCAGCTGCACCACCTATATAATGGGAAATATGAAACATGCCATGCATCAAATTGTGAATATTAAACAGTTTAACAGCTATTCATTGAAGAAAAAACCCTACTTATTTTAAAATTGATGCATTATCTTTAGCAAGGACCAAAGTCAAGTGATTGTACCTTCTTGCATTCTATTAACAGTAATAAAAATAGGTCAAGTACTTGTCTATAATCTACTTAATATCACTGTGCTAAAACATTACACTTAAATAATGGGTATTATCAGTGGTAGTATGCTGCTGGTTCGCCATTGGTTCTAGCAATCTGGTAGTGCCAGTCAGCTGTTGGCCCTGCCCACCCACAGCCGCCCTTTCCTGTCCTACATTTCCTTTGTTTGTTAGCTCATCTGATAGGCATAGCAAAACGGATTGTCACGCCTCAGCTGTATTACTCTCCAGCACTGACAGTAAGGTAAGTTTCATGCTTAAAATTGCCCGTTTTAGAATGCAGCACCCACCTACCCACAGAACCAGTAGTAAAATAGTTTGAATTCCACCACTGGGTATTATCATGATGGAAAAAATTCTACAGATGTTTCTGCTTGTGCATTCTAGCCAACCTCTTACAGGTAATCCTCATTTAGCAATCACAATTGGGAATAGTAACTCAGTTGTTAAGTTACTGTTAAGTGAAGTGGTCATTAAGTGAAAGAGTGACTGCACCTATAATCTTATTTCAGCTTTCCTTTGCTTTACAGACCTGCAAAGGTCTTAAATGTTGCAAAGTTATTTTTTCTATCAGCATAACTGAATAGTTGCTAAAAGAGGCAGTCATTAAATAAGGATTATCAATATTTCTCTCTGAGCCTTCCAAAGTTTATACCACCAGCAGAATAAAAGTAAGCAAACTTTTTGCTTGAAGTTTACAAAAGATTGGAAACACAGGATATGAGAGAGACTAGGCTGCTTCCTTCTGAGTAGAACAACAATTTGATCTTTCTTCATTACACCAATTAACCTCATAGCACAATGCCACATTGCAATGGCTATCCAGGAACACAGGTCAGGTTTTTCTTATAATCTACTAGCTGCTTCAATGGAGATACCTTGGACTGAATTTGGATCCACTATACATACATTGTGTACAACTGGCAAGCTACAGCTTTGCCTCTTGCATGGAATGTTGCAATCTGTACCTTTAATTCCAAAAGTAGGCCCTTGAGAAGGCTGACGGACACAGGCAAAGGTATTCTGACCAAGGTGCGCACCCAAAGCCTGAACCAGCCCTATAGCTGTAGTACTCTTCCCTTCCCCCAGTGGTGTGGGAGTTATGCTAGATAAAAAGATTTAGAATACTTTTAAAAAACAGATAAAGGCACAATTCACTTAATTACAATATGTAGCAATACGTTAAGAGAGAGCAACTTGGCCATCAAAAGGTCTTTTTGTACATGCTTGCTCAGTTTAAAGGGACACATTTTCTGTAATAGTATAATTACATGTAATAGTATAATCATGAATGTTTAATTAAACATCAAATGCGTGTTCTCCTAAATTTGCCCTTCTCAACATTTTGGGAAAACTTCTGTTGATTTATGTTCAGATTGTATTCTGGAGTTGACAAATTGATAATTTTTATATTTGTCTCCTTGGGGCCCAGTTTCACCCTTGGTATATACCAGTGCTATGCTTTGGTGTATTTTAAAACTATGTTAGCTATTTATTTCCTTTGAATGCTAAAGACTTTAAATAACTGTAAATGCTTTTACAGACTTTTCATGGGAACCTGCTATTCTTTCCTCAAGTCAATTAACTCCCCCCCCAAAAAACAACAACAACAACAACCCAACCTTGCTAGCTTACTAGGGTGCAGAAATACCATAAGGCAACTTACCCTGTAACTACAATGTATTTTCCATCTGGTTGATCTTTGAGACGCTTCAGTGTTGACAGTGAGATTTTGGCTTTACATTGACCATACAACTCTACTTCATCTGAAATCAAGCCAATTTCTCTGGCCAGCTCACCAATGGGCTTAGGAGTACATGACCGTGAAACTTCGATGTCACTGAAAAACAACAGTTATATTGAGAAAGGAGAAGATAGCATTCTAATCTCTCATTAAATATCGGGAATATACAAGTCACACCTAAATTCGCCCTTTTTCTTTGGACTTTGAAAGTGCTCTTCTATGTGAAAACTTTTCCAAAGTTTAGAAAATAATATAGCAGGAAGAAGGATGGGTGAAAATCCTTTCCTGGATATGCTTGCTTTCCTACACATTTCAACAAACAAGTCTAGCTTTCTGCAGCCCACAACTACTCCTACTTCTGCAGCCCTGCAATCCACAGCTACTCTTCCTCTAAATGTCAATAGCTGTATAATTAGCAATGGCAAATCTGGACTGAAGCATAAAAATGCATTTAGGAAAAACATGAGGCCCCCCAAAATAAAACCCCCAAAGAGAGCTGACATTCCTAGAACTTTCCAGTAGTTGAGAAAGTATGTTGGATAAGAGAGAAGAAAATAGGCACAGTGCTCTGAAGGAGGCCTAAGAAAGGCGTGATATGAAAAGAAATATTCTATGTTGTAACACTTGAACGAATGTGCTATTGCTTTTCCTTTTCCTTTTGTCCATTTTCTCTATACCAGCAGAAACTCCAATTGAGGGTATAAAAAAGTTTCCTCCTGCTCTCTCTCTCACTGAGACACAGCAAGGCACAAATATAGACTTCCATTCATACCCTTTCTATACCAATTTTTATTACTTCTTTCTTACCTTGGAACAGGAGTTACAGGAGTGAGCAGTCTATATTGAATATTCCACTTGCCAGGTTGATGGTTCTCAAGAAAACGTTGAGCACTTTCTACTGTACTCTGAATTGGTGTTTTAAAAAGGAAAACAAAATAAAAATTAATTACTGTAACCAATAAGCCATCTGTTTTGCCTTCTTTAGAAAATCTAAGTTGCACAATAAAATCTGCAAAAGGCAGGAAGCAGCTCTATAGCCTTTAAATACAGCATTAGGTAAATATATGTGTACCTCATTTGCATTTTTGGTGCACAATTTATATTTACTCTTCAGAAAACTATTTCTGTATAACTTCCTAAACACTTCAATACACATCAAGATTCTAACTATGTTCCTTGTCCAGGTCTTTAATCTGCTGTGATAAACATTGCAAAGTGGCCTTGTTATCTTCTTTTTCTCAATTTAACCCAAACTTTCTCAGCTTGTGCCCTCCAGATGTGTTACAGTGGTAAATTTTAAGAAGACTTTTGCTTCCCTGTACTGAGAATTTTAGTAGGTGGGGCTGGTATATGTTTTACATTTGGAAAACAAATAAATCTGGAAGGCACCAGCTTAATGTAATATAAATGCTTTTTATTGTTTATCTGAGATACAGTGAGTTATATTATTCATTGTTTCTATTTTCTTTTCATATTATTGCATTGAACTTCTGGATTCAAATTCTTATTCAGCCTCAAAACTCCCTAACTAACTTTAGGTCAGACAAACTCATCCGAAAAACCAATTACATTCAAAAGGTGGCTTGTAAATAGAATGAGCAGAGAAAATATTCTGCATTCTACTTATATCCAGGAGGAAAAAAAGAGTAATAATAATTATTAAAGTTTTGAGATGCCTTTAATTATCATTTAAGAAAAGCAGAAAATAGAGAGTATTTTTGTTCAATCATTGCAACGAAAGCACAGGTGAGTGCGGGGAAAAAGGCTGAAATGGAGCAACTTCTGGCTCCTCCACTGATTTTGTTTGTGGGAAGCCAGCAGGGAATGTCAGAAATTGTGATCCTGTAGCTGCAGCTTACTGTGATGTCATTATTGCAAGCCAGGCCTTGTCCAATCAATGTAGAATTGAATGCTTTATTGTAATCAGTCAAGCTACATGCAAGTTGGCCTTCCTTTTCTTTCAGTTTTCCAAAATCACCTTGGCTATATATATGGACAGTGTTGAACAGCAATTCTATTTCAGGTGTGTTTTTCCATATAGGATCTCCCACTTGAACATCCTCAGCATTGACAAAATCACCATCAGTCAATTGCAGAAGGCAGCCGAGATGATACCTTTAGTATCATCGCAAACATCCATATTTGCCTATCTCAGGTTCCTGGGAGAGACTGGATAGGGGGTCAAAAATGCAAAATCCAGTTTGGACATCTGGCTGATTGTGCAATGAGTCACAATTGTCCTAGTTTCTAGATGGTATTACTTGATCAGGTATTATTTAGTCTTCATGTTCTTCAAGTTTTCTTTCATCCATTCTAGCTTGCTTGCATCTGATCTTTAGCAGGCTGTCTTATTTTCTGCCTGATTTTCATTTTGGTGATGAACTGTTTGGCTTTTTATTCTTGTCTGCTGATTTTGCCTCCAAGCTATTCAATTATAACTGCAGTAGTGCTGTACATTAGTTGGTTTGCTTATTTCTGATTCTGGATGTTGTTCTTTCCAGAACTGGTGCATTCTTTTCAAATATCCTTTCTCACTGGATTTCATTTGTAGTAGCGGATCATTATTTTCTTTGTTTTCAGTGTTTGCCTATTTGCGATGGGTAACAACTTTTCTTCCTATAGTCCTGCAGCTGCTGGCACTGTTCAGCAACTATCCTGAGCTTATTTATCACCAGATGTCCAGAAACACCTACTGTGGTCCTTGTTGAACTGGGTGACGACCCATCCAATAAGGGTTTTGTAAATTATATCTCACCATATCATTTTTGGGACAGGCACTGTCCATCTAGCTCCTCTGATGAGACAGATTAGTTAAACCTCCGGCGTAGCTCTCATCCTCCTTGGAGTATGCATGCCCCCCTCCCCCAACAATGTCAAGTGAATGCCTCACTGGAGGATTATTATTATTATCCCTAATTATACTGCATGTAGAGCCTTATGAAAAAGACTGGTCATGATCTAAAGATATTCTGGGAAAACTAGATGATTTAAATCTGTGTAGGATGAAACAGAGAGCACTGCTAGGTACCTATACTACACAGAAACTCGGTGGAAAGTGAAAAAAGGCTCTTCCCCAACATGAGGTACTCACCTGCATCAGCATTGCAACGGTCATTGGTCCAACCCCACCGGGGACAGGGGTGATATAGGCTGCTCTCTCCTTTGCTGAAGCATAAGCTACATCTCCAACAACTCTTTTCCCACTGGCCTTTGTGTTATCTGTGAAGGAGAGATAAGAACACACTGGAGGAAAATGATACCCCCAAAACATATCAATCCTATGAGAGGCAACAGAAAATAAAGCTTTAGGTTAGCTCGCAATGACAAAAACTCCATCTACACCAATATTCTTCTTAGCATTGCTGAGTTAACACATTCTCAGCTAGTCCTTCTTTTTCAGATTTGTTTAAAAGCCGTTTTGTTAGCATGCTTGTGAATAAACATGACTGATCCAGGCTTGAGGGCAGAATTCTGGAAAACAATAGCTTTCTTCAAGAAGCGAGGTTTACTTCCAATGTCATGCATGTCTCATAATTGCAAATGGAGATACTTAAGTATCTGCCAGAAAACTAAAAGTTTCCAGATTACTGAAGAAAGGAAATGATGGGAGAGGAACAATAATCCTGCTCTAACATGGTGGAATTGGCATTTCAAAATAATATTTAACTCAAGATTTCAGCAGGTTTACTAAAGGTACTTTTTAATCAGGATTGAGAAGGAACTTTTTAGTTTCAGCAGTATAGAAGGCAACTTTTGAATTTATTAAAAACATCCTTACTGCTTCAGGCAACTGGGGGCAATTGTTTGGAAGATTAGCTGTTTTGTTATTGCACTAAGATGGGAAGAGATACTTTTGGCACTTTACTTGCTCCATCAGCCTCAGATGCTAAAGAAGAATAAGTGAGAATAGAAAAAAAAATATGACTGAAGGTGTGCCCGGTATAATGTTGCAGGATCCAATCTGGTTCAGTCACTAGAACTAGAGGTTTAATCTTCCAAGCTTTTGTATTTTTGCTGGAGCCCATCTTTACAGATTCCAGTAGAGAGAAGGCTCCAGAACAAGGCCAAAAAGCTTAGAAGACTAAACCAGTGACCAACCCAGATTGCATCCTGCAAAAAATATAGTGCAGCAGAGAGCAGCATTTCTTTACTGCACATTACAAAGACATGTAATGAAATAACCTGGATTCCACAGGATTCTTGGATTTCATTTAAGGAAAGACAAGGAATACAAATTAGAAACTCCAATGGCAAGGCAAGGCAAATTAAAATATTAGAGGTATTAATACTAAATTTAATACTAAAATTTAAAAGACACAGAGACAATGGTTAAAATTTAACTTAAGGAGAGGATTCTGCAAGGGTGCATGGGATAGCATTGTTATATTAGAAATAGAAAAGGGTTAGAAAATATGTTTAGATGATTAAAGTGATAGGAAAAATTTGTATTGATGTGTAATGGAATATTTGTTTGTAAAGAGAATAAAGCTCTCAAACTGAAAAGAAACATGGAAGATTTTTATCAGTTGACAAGATGAATTTGAATAAGAATAATAATTTTATTGACTACTGTTAATA